TGGGACGTGGGGAGGGGGGGCGGCTCTGAGCGCCGCGCGCTGATTGGTCGGAAGTTGGCGGTGCGGACCCTGGAGAGCCCCGAGCCCCCCAGCGCCCGGCTCCCCGGCTGCCGGCCTTCTCGCCTTGGCCCAGCCCGAGGTGTCCAGGCCTCGGCCGTCCTCCGAACCCCACTCCCTGGCGGGTCGGTGTTCGCGCTGGGCTTCAGAGCCAAAGCGGAAAGGGCAGACTCAGCCGCGCGCATCCTCCCGAAGCCAAGCCGGCGGCCCCGGGCAGAACCCTGCAGAAGCCTAGGAAATTTCCACGCTTCCCCCAGTTTGGTGTCATTTTTCCGCTGGTTTCGGAGATTGGAACTCTTAGGAGAGTAAGGAAAACGAAAACATGGGCTCGGGGAGGTGCCGAAGAGAGAGCTGTGCACACTACCACGAGCCCGTGCAAAACCCCATTCGATCGCAAGCCAGCGGTAGGGTTCTTGTTTGGTTAAGAGGCCTCTGGAAAGTTACCGCATCCCCTGGGTGCTAAGTCATCCCCTGGTTTGAGAATCACCAGACCGGCCAGGAGTTCTCAGGAGTCCCCTTGCGGACTGGGGGGAGGCTGGAAGGGATATCCAAACAATAGAAGCCGGTCCCCCTACGGGGGAAATATGGCTACAGGCTTCAATAAAGCTTGTTGGGTGGACAGAGTGATCTGGTGAAGAAAAACCCCTTTCATCCTGCAAGACCAGCTGTCTACTTTCGTGTATTTTCAGTAGTTTTTCTACCCAAAAGTCTATTTGGAAATAATTGGATGCTCAAAGTTGACGTTCTTGGGAATCATTAATCACACGGGCAGGCGATTTAGGCAAAAGTTTAAGATGAGGAACACACATTATGGGGAAAAGTTTACGGGGTCTTCAGGATTTCAGATAAACACCGCCCAAAGCTCCCAAATAGACATTTTTGATGTAAGATAGAAAATATATATGATTTTTTTAAAAAAGTCAGGGAGGGGGTAGCATGTAAGTGTAGCATTACAAATCTCAGAGTAGCTTTGTCTGAGGAGAAAAGAACAATGACTTGACCATGCTTCCGTTTTGGTGCCTTTGACCTGCCGTAGAATTGGACCCAACGGCTGGATGGAGAAGTGAATCAATAAGTAAAACACAAAACTGGGTCTGGGGGCGGCCTTAGTGTTAGAAGATGGCCTTGAAACATGTAGTAGATGTTCAGTAAACTGTCATGTTTGAGGGTTTACTTGTTTTCGAGCCAGGGATTGGTAAAAGTTCATAGGAGACGGGAGTGTAAAAGCAAAGGTTTATTAGGATTCCCTGTGACAGTGAGCATAGCTTGGGTGGGAATGGAGTTTACACCTTTTGTTAGGGTACTTTTGATGGCTTTTAATGAACCCTATTGTCTGAATCCCCCCTCTCTCTCCCTCTTCTCTCCTTTCTTCTCCCTCTCTCTCCTCTCTCCTCCTCTCTTCTCTCCTCTTCTCTTTCTCCTCTCTCTGTCCTCCCTCTTCCCTCCTTTCTCCTCTCCTCTCCTCTTTCCTCTCTCTCCTCACCTCCACCTGTATTTCATCTGGTCCATTTTTACATTCTACCTGACCAGTTTCACAGGCTTTGCTCACCTCTGTATTCTACCTAGCCCATGCTGTTTTCTCTCCCTGCCATATCTCCTTCCTTCTGGAAAGAAAGTTGTTTCAGATGATGATCTGAGAATTTCTTACTAGTCTGCTGAGCATGGAACCCATTCCTTGCTGTGGCTCACAAGCATCTGCAATAAGTAGCTTTTTCAGGGGTCCTTTGAAGCAGGGCTTACACCCATCCTGGCTACATACCCTGGATCTAAGTGGAACTATGGTACAACCCAGAGAGGGGACCCTGGCATTTTCCCCTTGGGATTCAGCAATTTCCCTCCCAGCTGATTGAAAAGCAGCCAATCAGGGACTTGTAGCCTATAGAATTTGCAGATGACAGGATGAACTCATAAACCAAAACCTGCCTGACAAAGGATGAAGGCAGGGAGCTACAAAAGAATGAGTACATCTCCTTAGAGGAAGCAAAAAGGAGACCCACCAGTCAGAATGCTATCTTTAAGTTTTCCAAGTCTCACTACTATTTAGCTCCAGGCCCCACTTTGTAACCTCTTTTTAACCTAGAAGACAGCCATGATGGTGGAGATGGGCTGAAGAGTTGTCTTCCTAGGCCAAGTCTATGCCATGGGCTCTTTCTCTGTCCTGTTTCTTTTCTAATAAATTTTCCTATCACCTTTACCATGTTCACATCTTGTTTTAATTACTCTCTTGCCAAATACAAGGACCAAGGTCAACTTAGCTACCCCAAATTTCAGGTAACATAATTGATGTTTTGGCCAAGAATTTCTGACATATTTACCAGAAGGTAATAATTTGTTAAGACACAACCTTTCCACCAGCCTCAAGGCCTGCTCACTTCTCGGGCAAATTCTCTGACAGTTGTCTCTGAGCACAGAAGTTTCCATAGCTTTTTTAATGCTTTCAGCCTGATACAACCCTCATGGCACATGACCTTTGCTTGAGGTACCATACCTCCATTTTGGTTGTCTCAAGAAGAAAGTTGCTAAATTAAAATATGTTCATCTCTGAGTGCAGGAATCCTTACTCAATAGAAAAAAAGTAAAAAATAAAATATTAGACCAAACATGGAATCAATAAGAAACTTTCCAAATCTTTTATGAATCCTGGTCAGAGATTTGTCTTACAATGGACACAAGTATTCAGTGTATGTCATGAAAGCATGCAACGTTTTTGTGTATATTAAGTGGAATCTTTTGAAAATCAACTAACTAAAGCATAGCAACAAGCAATAAAAAGCTTTTTATTATTCCATTGCAATACATAAAAAAGATATGTTTGCCAAATCGACATGTACAAAACTGACCGGAAATTTGATTTTGAAGCTTCTAAGACATGGTAGTACAATGAGTCATTTCTTAAAGCTTTAAAAGCTAGAGTGACCTTTAAATATTATCTTTGAAAGACGGGAAATTAAAAGTCTGCTTTATATCAAAAGTTTAAATGCAGTCTTAAAAAAGTAAATAAGAATATCAAAAAGTTGATATTCAAAGCACTATCAAATACCTGATTTACTTATGCTAGAAATATATGGCACAATATTGACTCAAGAGAAATGGTTTCAAATATATTTCTCCTTAGTGTCAAATTTGCCTTTGGGAGGACTTTTTTTCATTTTCATTGTTAGACCTAAGTAACCAAAGTTTGCTGTACTTAACTACATTCAAGCTGTGTACTTATCAATGTATTGTATTTTCATTAAGGGGAAGACTTGAATTACAATTCTACATGAAGTATTTTAGCCATACATTCTAGTCAATCCTTTTAACTGTGTCTGTGTTACTAGGGATTTTATTTCCTAGTGTCATGGTAGAGTAAAAGCTTCACTGGGAAAACAAAACACCAAAATTTACTTCTTTTTAGTTTCCTGAAAAATCCAGAAGTGACACTGTGGCTCAAGTGGTAGAGCATTAGCCTTGAGCAAAAGAAGCTTAGGGATAAGGCTCAGGCCCTGAGTTCAAGCCCCAGGACCAAGCAAAAGAAAGGGAAAAAATAATGAAATGAAGAGAGAGAAAGGAAGGAAGAGAAAGAATGTCCAGACATGGTGACATGTGTAATCCCAGCACTTAAGGGACAGAGGCAGGAGAATCAGGAGGCCAGCCTAGATGACTTATTGAGGTGCTGTCTCAAAAATGAAGAAAAAAAAACACAGTAAGGGTGTCTAATTCTTACTCTGAAACCTGAAAAAACAAAATCTGAACATTAAGTCCCCCTTCATCTCTTAGTTCTACAACATACTTGTAGTGCCAAGGAAGTATCATAAAAATCCTTTTAAAAGTTAGCAAAAACGTACAGGCTGTTGGAAATAAAGTCAATTAAGCTGTAAAATGAAAATGCTGTTCATAACAGGAATCTCCCTCCCCTCATCTGCCCCCCTCCCGAGGGTGGGAGGGGGTGAACAAACATGGGAGGAGGAAACCAAGGTTAAGCTTCTGAATACCAAGTGCCTAGAATGTACTAGATCCCAATCTAGATTATTCCTATCTGTTACCTGTAAGCCCCAGCAACCCTACTGAAGTTCCAGCAAGAAGGAAATCCATAAAAATGTGAGTGAAGGGGAGGGAGAGGGAGAAAAAAGAGTATATTGTTTTTTAAAAAGGAAGCAAGCATTATTGGTGAAACATACTGTCAGCTGGGACTGGGAATATTTCAGTTGACCCACAAGTTCCCATGAAAGAATCATAAGTCCAATAGAAATGCTAAAAAATAATATATGCCTATAGCTTAAACATTAATTTCCAATGAAGATGACTTCTAATCATATAACTCTAATTTCTTATGCTATATTTCAGCAAGACCAAACAGTAAATATTTCTGGCAATATTCAACTCCTTTATAAACCAAAAATATCTATCAAGTGACACAGAAAGAGGAACAACAACTCTTTTATGGCTTGACAGTGGACACAAGAAGTGTCCTAATTAGATGGTCCAAAGTCCAGAACCATTCCAAAAGACAGATAAAAAAGATATACAATCCCCACACTCAAAG